ATACTTCTTAAAATAATTAATGATATTTAAAACGTAAACATCATTACATATATACCTCTTTTTAAAATAAGGAATTGTGATGAGCTTTCGTTATACCATTATTATCTCAATAACATCGGGTCAAATTTTCTTGTTTTAAATAAATATATTTAATCACATAAATTGTTTTAGCAAAGAAAACATTTTGTACACGACAGACAAATAAGATCTAGTTTATTTATTGGCTATTTTATCATGTTGAAGTAATAAAAATCTAATTTATTTATTGGTGTTTTTTGTTTGTGTTTTTTGTTTTTGTTTTTTAAAACAGATCAAACAACAAGACCACTAATTAAACGATGACACAACAAAGGGAGATTATAAAAAACAAGTTAAAATGCAATTAGACGATTTTCAATTCTTAATTATCAAGCCATTAATCCTTGTAATTCGCTGCGCCGACGAACGCCGCCAAGAACTGGCGTCACATCGCACTTTCCCTATTTTTTTGGCACCGCCAAAATACTAACGAAAAGCTACACAGTATACTACTTACATGAGAACCAATAGCTCAATATTTAAGTTACACATTAAAACACTAACAATGAATCTAGCAGCCATAAACTAATATTAAATTGATGATATAGATTTCAAATTCAACGTGCTCATTTTTATTTTGATAGACAGATGAATACAGAGTTAGCTAGAAATATACTAGAAAGCTTTTTTCTTCATAAAACAACTTAAGAATAGCTTGACGCTGAGCAACAACACGTTTATGGACAACATGACTAATGGAAAATGCTATGAATGGAGTGCAAAAGGGGGTTGTAAATAGTTAAGGAGATTCTCCCAATAACGTAATGTCAAAAAGTTATGCAATTTCTTTCAATAGTGTGGGGTAAATAGTTACACAAATCCTCCAAATAGTATGGTGTAAAATGTTATAGATGTTCTCGCAATAGATTTCTTTAAATATTTACACAACTTCTCCCAATAGCATTGTGTAAATATTTACACAAATTCTCCCAACATTAGGGTGTAATTAATTGCACAAATTATTGCAATTGTATGGTGTTATTTACACAAATTCTCCTAACAGATAGACGTAAATAGTTACACAAATACTCCCAATAGTGTGGTGTAAATATTTACATAAATTCTTCCAGATAGAGGTGTAAATAGTTACGCTATGTTTCCTAACAGCGTGCTGACCCACAGGTTACCAAATCTAAATGATCACTATTTAAGTCAATATTTTCTCTTAAGGAGTTCATTAATGGCTGCTTTTTACGATAGAGAAAGGCTTCATATGTCTTGTGATTAAATCTTTATAATTGTAAAATGTTGTCTTAGTTAAAATTAATATGTATTTATTTATGTCCTCAAAATGCTTCTGTCAATTTTTTATTTTTTTTACATTTCTATTTTTTTAGATCAATAAAGAATTAAGAAAGAAAGAAACAATTTAATAATTATTTGGTAGATTTAATGTTTACCTTTTTTCTTTTTGAAGAAATCTTTGCTGGAGTATTACTTTTTTCGGATGTTTTATTTGCCGTTTATGATTTATACAATTAAACGTAATCAGTAAACACAAAAGTGAACACGCTCTCCTTATCCACACAATTTAATGAGTGGACAAAAAATAAATCCCAAACGGAATCCCTCAAAACCTATTTTTCTTTTTTTGAAATCTTCCTTGTTTTGGCGACCAGGTGTTTTAATAGTAGCGGATCGTTGACAGGTAATTGGAAATAAATGGTCTACTTGATTAGAATAATTCACAATTGATTCAGTTGTTTAGAAATCAACCAACAAGAAATAGTATTTCACGTTCGTATTTAAATGGTAGTCTTATCTTTCAAATTACACTTTACCAAATGCAATCAGCTAATTTGGTTTTGTAAGATTGTTGACTAATACCTCTACGCCTACAACAATACAGGATGCTAGAAATACGAAAAAAAGCGAAAATTTCTAAGACTATTTATTAGATTCCCCTTTGTATGTGCACACATCAATTTTAGGGATATAATGCAACGCCAGAGGCAGTGTAGACGATTCGCATACACCTTGGTGCAAAATTACAGATTTTAGTTGTTTTTTCAACACCACCCGAGGCAGTGTAGAAATTGAGCATACGCCTTATGTGCCGGATGACAGATAAAAGATGCCAGTATTTTTTTTCTACAACGCCCGCGGCAATGTATACACGACCTCAAACGTCTTCTAGCCGGATCACAGAATCCTGACGTCAGTCGTATCTCACCAACGCCATGATTTTTTTCACCTTTCCCAATGTTGCATTTCCTTTTGACAGCAATTTCATAATCGAAAGTTAATAACTTGTTGGGACATGCAAATTGTCTTAAGCCTAACCCTGAAAGAATCACGTTTAAAATAACATATTAATCTTTAGCTTAACAAACATATCTAAAGGCCCATCTGAGGTTTTTTTGTTTTTTTTTTTGCTATATGGTAAAACGACACAACACTTATGTGTATGATTATCAGGTCCTAGGGCCCTAGGCTACCTTTATCAGAGCGTAATTGTTAAAGTTGTTGAATGTGACCTGATTTCCTAGTTCTTGGTGATTAAAAATAGCCCCACATTTCTAAAACAACTCACGAAACCCCAGTGCGAGCAACTGCGAAGATTGTTACGAGGTGTGGAGATGGGGTAGTCTCCCTCCAATTAATCATGTCGTGACATGTCTACTTACTTAGACTTGTATCAGTGATAGTGCAGACTGGGTGTGATCAAGACCTCGTTACCAAACATTAAAACCGGATATAAGCCTCGTATTCACTTCAGGTGTCACCCACATTTGTATGAAAACACGCATTTTAACTTGTAAACATAGATCACATGTGCATAAAAAAACGTGTAATCACCACGTCTTGGGTGCCCGGCCCTAAACTCTTGATCATACTTGATACAATTCAGTCTTTTCTTTTAACGTGATGATCTTTGTGTACTGAGTGGGTGGACTGCTTGTACCACTGCAATGAGAATAGGACATTTTGTCACATTAATTATGTATAGAAGCAATATATTAGGTAATAATGTAGACACACAGATTGATACATTTAGTGACAGGGTTGCTACCCGCATTGCCACAGATGCCTGGTTCGAGCTAGAATCTGAAAGAAGCATAACACGAACGAAAGATGAAAAAAAATGAGTATCAACAAACTATTGGTGTCAACAAACATACCATTTCAAATAAATGCACTGCTTGAACTCGTGAGGTTATTCTGGAAAATCTGGTTTGAAGGCGATTAGGTTTTATTTTGACTAAATGGGCCATTTCTTGGTGGTGAAAATAGAACCTTAATCTAAGTATAGATCATCTTTGGAACAGGTCATAGACTGGGGTAGTACAAGCCATTGAGTGTGGAGACCTAACGACACCTATCCCCCCCACATACACAAATAGACCAGATTTTGGGCGAGGCCGAGACAATAGATAAACAAATAATGAGTATAATGTAAAAACACGTCATAACAGAAAAATTGAGACAAGCTCATTTTGAAATAACAAAATATTGATTTAGCTTTAAATGTTTGACCACAAATAAGGTGTGATGCCATCGTAAAACCAGGGGTTGTCACTAGTAAATATTCATCATGATAGGACTTAAAGATTTATAAATGAACTACTGTCATGTTTGAGTTAATTTTTTAAAAAAAAGTATTATAAATAAACGGCTATCATGAGATGGTGAAAAATTATAAAAAATAAATTGATTTTAGGATATAATTAGAAAAAGTATCATTAATTAACTGATATCATGAGGAAAGTTTTCAAAATACCAGAAATAATCGCTATCATCATGTAATTAAAAAAAATATCATAAATACAAACACTACCAACAAATGGCTTGTGTGTTCATCAGCTTTTGTTGAAGATGTTTTAATATAATGTTAATTTTTGGGGAAGTCTTAACAAAATTGAGACGATTCTACTGTTACAGTTAGCTAAGTTAAAAATAGTGTGATTTCAGCTATGTATTAATAACTTTTTCTTTAAACCTATTACACCTATTTGTGAATGGAAGTATACTGATTTAATGGGCGTAACTCTGGCGGGTTATTTCAAGTGCAGAAATGATCTCTGTTGGACATGCCGTTATTCTGGGGCTTATCTCGGGTACAGAAAATGGCTAATGGTTGGCATATATTTTCTCTTAAGATATAGATAAGTACTCAAGATTTGTTTGAAGATTTGATTGCACAACTCATTAGGGGTACTTATGGGCACTTTTGGGTACTTACGGGTTTTAAGACAAATTAGAATTACACATGACATTTAATTTCATCAAAATGTACGTTTTATTTCATTTAAAAGAAAATTATCGTAGATATACTTACAAAAACAACGCCAACACCAACACAACAGCAACAAAACCAACATGCAAACAAACATGACAATAATCTAAGGTCCTTGCTGAAGGCAGAGCCGTGCCGTTGGGTTGCCAGAAATTTGTTAAAATTGCGGCTATATAATTTTAATGACTGGTTCAAATGTCCCGTTAAAGAAGGCTAACAAAAATATCACTAATGAAGACACTAGGGCAAAATTTGGGCAACTCTTGCTGTAATATAAATAACATTTTTATACAGCGCTGTTTGCTATAACATAAAACCAATTTTCAGGTACTACTTGCTGAATATAAGCAAATATTTTGTTTCAACCCATTTTAATGAAAAAAAAAATCTTTAAGTTGAGTGCAGAGGCGTACTTTATGGGCGTGGTAAACGTGGTGAGCAAACTTTTATATTTTAACTTGTTTATTTATTTGAGTAGTCCGCGTGGCGTGTTTTTTCCCCCGAATATAACCGCAGACATGAATGCACCCCATTACATCCCCCATCCTAAATGTTAGATCACGTGAACGCTTTTTTGATCCGTTATGTCATTTTTGCCATTTCAGATATTTAAAAATTTAAAAAAAATATGTTTAGATCTTTAAAAATCAACATGTTAGATGATAAGCTGCCAGTGACTGTGTGGGCCCTACCTCCACCTGGTGTCAACCCACCAATGACGTGACTGATTGAACGTGTTATCAACATTCCCACAGGTACATAAAGTTAGTGTACACCGCTCGTTTACCTGTTACAAGACTCCAGTCTACCAAACCAGCACTGTCGAGAGGGGCTACTAGTTGGTAAGTTACGTGGATACTTTATCATAATTCCTAACTTTCAACGAAGACAATTTTATTTATTGAATTATCTTTGTAAAGGAGCCGCGTTAATTTACATGATGCTTAGAATTGCAGTTACATATATGTTGTATTTATTCATATATTTCTGTTACAACTTTTAACAAAATCTTTAGAAATACTAATATATATTTATATATATTGTATAGAAACTTGGTTCGTCTCCGTTCTACCGTCGATCTCTATTTCGTTTTGTGGATGATACCACTTGCTTCAACTGTCACTCGTCATTCAACATACGAGTAATTGAAAACTGGATGACGATGGTTGCAGTCGTTCACCTTGTATTTGTCTCCGACATGGAATTCACTTTCTCTTTCTCTCACTCCTGACCCGCTGAGTTCTCCCTTTGTTAGTCCCGCGTCACCTAGAGATTCCTTCCTAGGGCTTCCTACATCTCAGGTACACAAATTTTCCCTCCGTCTAAATGGTCATAAACCAGCACCGTAACGGTCGTCCCGGTGCAATCTGATACGTTGGAACCTTGGGTCAGTTGGTCGGTTACTGTGCTGTGGGATCCCACCCAACACCCCTGTATCACACCCCTGTACCACCCAGGTCTGGACTCTCCACAATATATATATATATATTATATATTTGTTTTTTATTCTAAGTACTTTAATGGTGTATACTTTATACAGACAATACAGTGGTCTTATATTATAAAATATTAATACTAAAGAAGATATTTGTTATGGTTAATTTCTGGATTTTCTTTTGTCTGACAGAAAAAAAGACAAAGAATTTTCGTGTCAGACGATAGTCACCATGGGGGTCAAATTGCATTGGACACTGGCTCTTTTCGTTATTATCTACACATCACAATCTCAAGGTATCACGTGCTAGAGTTATTAGTGATTTACAAAACAGGATGTTCGTCATCAAATAAGAACGTCATAAATTTTCATTTAAGAAATGACTTGCGTTGAATAACTCATCGTGCTAGAATCAAGCAATTTTACGACAATCTTCATCTCTCGATGTTATATCCATAAAAAATAACATTTAATAAAAAAAAAATCAAAGTAAGCTATGCATCAAGTAGGACAATTTCAATTGAATGTTTGAGTGGTTGCTGTCTTTTGAACTGTAATCATGTTAATTTGAAATACATTTTTATAACTCAATAAACCTATGCATACCCCATTGATTAGTGATCTTGCTGGCTGCCGTCCATACTTTGCCTTGTAAAAGTTATGTAGTAGGGTGGGTGAATATAAATTGCTGTTCTTTATTTTATAATGTATTTTATTTTAATGTAATGATTATGTCTCTTTTGATAAAATTTTTATGTACAGCGCGGTGAGCCCAGCCCTAGGCTGGGGTACCGCGCTATATAAGACCTCTTATTATTATTATTAATGAATCTGGACAATTTCATAACCTTTTCTATTTATATGTCTGCCTAAGCTAGTAGCATATAACACTTTCTTTTTGTTAAAAATATTTTACCATTTTGGGGTTTTAAACCCTTGTAATATTAAATACTTTTACTTGTTTAAAATAAAGCTTTAAAAAAATTTCAGCAATCTAAAAAGCGAAACAAGACCATTCAAAACAATTCTTGAATCTAACAAAAGATGGATGAATTGTTTCAATTTATTTTTTAAAAAGTACTCGCAGTAACATTTCTTAATTATACTGTAATACTGTTCGCCTTTTTTTTTTAAAGATCAACAATTCTTGCGAAACAAAAATACAAATTTATTTTACAAGTTGAATTAAATTGTGGTTCTTTTTGTCTTTTTATTTTATTTAAAACAATTATTATGATTTTAAAAAAACCCAGGTAAATTGACCAAAGAAAGGATAACAAAGCTAAGCCTCACAGGGGGAATGCGATCCCCGTTAGGATACAGAGGTCGTGTTATCATTCAAATCAACAATGAGGACGTCGACGGAGCCATATGTGGGACATGGACCAGACAAGACGCCATTGTAGTATGCAGGATGTTGGGCTACAAGTCAGTAGACATATATTTATGTCCCATCATGGCTCTCTACCCATGGCTATATTTTACCATGGCTCCCTCATCATGGCTATCTTACTATGGCTCTCTGGCCATGATTGTTTTACCATGGCTCTCTAGCCATGACTCTCTAAACATGGCGCTTTCACCATTAATCTCTTATCATGTCTATGTTACCATGTATCTCTCATTATGGCCTTTTAACAATGGCTTTTTTTATCATGGCTTACTAGATGGCTCTCTAACCATGCCTCTTTCATTATGGCTCCCTCATTATGGCTGTCTTTCCATGGCTCTCTCAAAATGTCCCTGTCACCATGACTCTCTTTTCATGGCTCTATAGCCATGGCTATCTCATCATCGCTCTCTCACCATTAAAAGTTATGAAAAACCTTTATCTTCACTCGTTAGACAATTATTTAGACTCGATTGATTGGCACAACCTGTGATTTAAATAAAACTTAAAATTGTTGACTGCTTAAAATTTAGGATCTTAAAACCGTTAATTACAAAAAATATATATTTCAACGACTTATTAATTCCCCAGTTTTATTATTACTTTTTATCAGTCGAGTCTTCTAATTATTACTTAATACTCAAGTCTTCTAAATACTACTTAATACTCGAGTCTTCTAATAATTACTTTATTATCGAATACTCTAATTAACACTCTAATATTTAACACTCGAGTCCCAATTATTACTTAATGCTCGAATCTTCTGATTATTACTTAATATTCGAATCTTCTAATTACTAGTTAACACTCGAGTATTCTAAATACTAATTAATACTCGAGTCTTCTAATTATTACTTTATTATGGAATACTTTAATTGATATTTAATACTCGAGTCCTAATTATTACTTAATACTCGAATCTCCTAATTACTACTTAGCATTCCAGTCTTCGAATTATTACTTAATTATCTACTCTTCTAATTAATAACCTTTTTTTTAAGTGATGGCAACAACGAACAAAGTGACGGTCTAATCCCACCTGAAAATCATAATTTTCGTATGAGTAATGTGAGATGTACTGGTCAGGAGACATCACTCTTTAGTTGTCCTAGGGATCCCATTGTTAACTGCATATACGACGTAAGTTTTTATAACATTTAGATTGATCTCACTTGAATAGTTTCGGTAAAAACATACTTTCACTAGAGGAATCTCTCTAGATGGGCTTAGGTACCAAACACAACTTCTTTAGAGGAAACTCACTAGATTAGCTTTTGAACCAATCACATCTTCTACAGAAGAAGAAATATAACAATTGATGATGTTTAAAAAATACATTGACTGTAAATTTGTTGACGGGCTTCTGATAAGATTCAGATTTTAATTTGGATGGTATAAGTAAACCTATCTTTTATAGTTGTAATGACTTATTTTGAGCTGTGCTTCAGGGGGGGGGGCAAGCCGTACCACATTATATATATATATATTGAGGGCGTTATACTTGTAAAGGTCAGGGTGAAAAGGGCGTTTAGTGAAGCAACCATTAGGTAAAAAATAAATAAAATAATATCACCACCAACAAAAAACAAACAAACAAACAAACAAAAGATTGATTCTCGTCTGTATCGAGGAAAGCTTATATTTCGTTATTAAATCTGAGTATTTTGTTGTTCAAACTTTCAGGCTCATGACGTTGCTGTGTCCTGCTCCAATCCTGGACCAAACCCACTGGTGACATACATCTCTGGCGTTGCTGTCGAGGTTAACAGGGAAACCCCTGCACCATTGCAGAGACTAACTGGAATGTTTGAGACCACACACTGCCAGATCCGTATGTTTTATTTTCTTCGCGATTTCCAATTCTATTCGACATATGACAAGAGGTGTGGCTAAAACAATGACAGAATATTGGGGACAGCTAAATGATTTCTTTTACTCTATGCAACAAAATTGATCCAATCTTAAACAATGTTTGAACACTAACTACAACGCGTTCATTAAGTACAATACTTTCATTAAATTCAACATTTTCATTACCTACAACATTTTCATTACCTACAACATTTTCATTACCTACAACATTTTCATTACGTACAACATTTTCATTACCTACAACATTTTCATTACCTGCAACATTTTCATTACCTACAACATTTTCATTACCTACAACATTTTCATTACCTACAACATTTTCATTACCTACAACATTTTCATTAACTCAAACATTTTAATTACCTACAACATTTTCATTGCCTACAACATTTTCATTACCAACAACATTTTCATTACCTACAACATTTTCATTACCTACAACATTTTCATTGCCTACAACATTTTCATTGCCTACAACATTTTCATTGCCTACAACATTTTCATTACCTACAACATTTTCATTACCTACAACATTTTCATTACCTACAACATTTTCATTACCTACAACATTTTCATTACCTACAACATTTTCATTACCTACAACATTTTCATTACCTACAACATTTTCATTACCTACAACACTTTCAATCTACTTGTCCGCGTCATTTGAAATTGACACAAATATACTTTTGGATTAACACTGTCACTCCCATTTTAAACAAATAAATCAGACAAGACTTGATCAATCAATGTTTTTGACGATAAAATTTGAAGATGACTTTTGTTTGATGGATGTTGATAGTATTAATTGACCCCACTTATTATAAAAAAAGTATTCAATATTTGGTTAATTTTAAATGTGATATTTTTGTATGACGATTTTAAAGTACTGTTAGGGTTCTTAAACATGGACGTATGCTTTCTTTATAAAATGGGTTCCATATAGTTATAGTTATGTCTAACTTAAACAAAAGATTATGCTAGATTCATTAGCATAAAGATTCATTGGGATGAACATGTTTTAGATATGCACCTTTTAGACATTCTAAATTGAACATGCCATAAATAACTTATTACATTATTTCTTTCTTTATTTAAAAAAAATAGCAAACCCAAACATCAGGCTCCACGGTGTTGAAGGGAGGAAAGGAATGGGCTATGTCCAGGTCAATGTCAACGGTGTCTGGCAGTACATTTGTGATGACAAGTGGAGCGAGAACGATGCTAAAGTTGTCTGCAAGGAGCTTTGCTACAAGTAAATATTGAATACTTTTATTATGTGTAAGATACATGCATAAGCTGATAGGCAAGATTCTATATATAATTTTATTTAATCTAATACAAACAATTGGTTCAATGTAACATAACAAGTTAGTTAACAATATCAGTATTTCTAAAATATATAATTTGGCTCAAAAAGTGACATAAAGCTACTTGTAACATGACTAACTATTTGGATATTATTACTCTTATTTAAATGAGAGTAATATGATTTTACTGCAAATTAATAGTTGTGTGTGGTTTAGGTGGGGTATGTGTAGCATATGAGAGTGTTGTAAAATAAGCAAAATATGGCCTTAATTATGTGATGGCTCTTCTTTTAATTAGTTCATACCAAGTGAAACATTATTTTATTCTGTAGTGAACCAACCTGTGCCCGCCCTGGAGTAGAGAATGAGTATAAACCTTACTTAGATCAAACAGCCACATTTGCATGGAACAGAGTTCAGTGCACAGGAGATGAGAGCAATTTAATTGATTGCGTCAAGAACAACACCACACCACAAGGAGAATGTGGTCAACATGAGCTGGCTGGGGTACAGTGTGTTGTGCCAACTGAGATTCCTCCTGGTAATCTTAAGCATGTTTTATTTAAGCTTTTAATGAGTTTCTGTACAGTGGCGTCAGACAGGGGGGTGGTCCATTAGAGAGGGATGGGGGCAACTTTAAACTAAACGTTTCTTAAGTGTAAAACCATATATATGTATAATTCACCAGAAAATGTCAAAAACAACCACGCAGGCTATATATAGATACGGCAGAGTGTGGTTAAATAATGAGTTCACTAGCGCGCAAAATATAATTCCTGATAGCTACGCTATATATGATATCTTCACAACTCTGATGCAGTCTCAGCTCCGTTGGATGGGACACGTAGCCCGTATGGAAGACCACCGGCTCCCGAGACAATTATTCTTCGGAGAACTCACGACAGGCAAGCGCTCCCAAGGAGGTCAAAAAAAGCGTTACAAAGACTCACTGAAAGTGGCACTAAAGGCCTTCAGCATAAACCCTACTCAATGGGTGCAGACAGCCCAGGGCAGAGCCAGGTGCAGAGCTGCTGTCAAGAAAGGGGGCTAAATCCCGTGAAGCTAATAGAATAACAACAGCTGAGACACGCAGGCTTGTCCGAAAGAGCTACATTAGGTCATCGTCTGAAGCAACTATTCCATGGCCACGGTGTCATAGATTATTCCGAGCAAGGATCGGTCTAGCAAGCCACCTACGAGCTCACCGTTATCCCAACCTCCCCTAACCGGCTGACTCGATGGTCCTAGTCGATTTCGATGGACGAAATACAAGAACAAGAATATATATATTTTTAATAACGCAATTGCGTTTGGTGCGTAATATTTTCTTTTCGGAAATGAAATCGTCTCAATTTAAGTATAGTGTAAAAAAAATATTAATATTCGATTTAAAATTGGTTGGGACATGAGAATATTAATATAGGTCATGGGCGTGAAATAAAAAGTGTGCAGTGACGTATTATGGGGAAGGGGTGTATCAAATATTGATATTCTTTTAAATGTGCGTAACTTGAGTTCATGTTTTGTCACGTAACTTTACTTGATGGGAAGTTCACACATTGCTGTCGCCAATGTTTGGCGGGCTATATGTAGGTTCATAAAATTTGTTGATCTCGAACATGGCCTAGCTACGCATTAATGACACGGACTTCACAAATAAAATAAGACGTTTATAAGTCCGATTGTGAGCTGCTCGCCACTTAAAAGTTATACAGGTAACCTTAGTGTGTGTTACTTTCCTTGACACAGCTATGAACGCTGAACTGGATTGTGCCAACCTCAACGGAGATATCGTCCTTAACTTCACACGTAATAACTTCCCTAACGAAAACGCCAGCAGCATTAGGATCGCCAACGTCCCCGCGGGCTGCTCCACACGAGCTCAGAGAGACTCGCAAAGGGATCTTTACTTTTTGAGAATCCCGACAGAAGGTTGTGGTACAGTCAAGACTGTGAGTGTTTGGTTGTAGCTTGTAATCTTTAGTTTAGACATTCCTTACATTGTAAGATTTGAGCTATAAGAAGAACACACGATTTGACCTGAATGTTTTATTAATTGTATAACTCACTTTCTTTGACGCTGATGCTTGATTGACATATATGATTAAATGATATCATTTTAAGATGCTGTACATTCTTAAATTATTTTATAAATATACGCTAATTTTTGTGTTGATTAATGTAAATCTGAGAAAAAAAGAGAATGTAACTTTGAATGTTAACCAATGTGCTATCTACAGGACAATGGTTCCCAAATCTGCTACAAAAACACAGTGGAGTATGAAAATGAAGTTTCTAGAGGCAATGTTCTGTTTGACTACAAGAAGAAAACGTAAGTCTTTTGTTGGCTTATGTAGGCCATAAGCAAACATTGTTTACTTAAAGTTAGCATATCTTATTCAATATGTTTATATATCTGGTGTGGTCAGTCTAGTAACGTTACCGATAGTTAAAAAAAAGAGGAGGAGGGTTATTGATCCTAGAAAAAAAAGAACATCTCTACCATACAAAACATGGCAATGCTTGTAATCAGCTAATTAATCAGCTAAGTAGTTAGCTATGAACCAGGCTAAGTAACCAGCTCAATACACAGCTCAATAAATAGCTAAGTAACCAGTAAAGTAACCATCTAAGTACCAGCTAAATAACAAGCTTAGTCATCTGCGAAGTAACCAGATAATTAACCAGACAAGTAACATGCTAAGTAACCAGCAAAGTAACCAGCTAAGTAAACAATTATGTAACCTGATAAGTAACCAGCTATATAAACAGCTAAGTTAACGACTATGTAACCATCTACGTAACCAGCTAAGTAGCCAGCTAAATAACCAGCTAAGTAACCAGCTAAGTAGTCAGCTAAATAAACAGCTAAGCAATCAGCTTAGTAACCAGCTAACTATCTAGCTAAGTAGCCAGCTAAGTAACCATCCAAATAACCATCTAAGTAGCCAGCTAAGTAACCATCTAAGTAACCAGATAAGTAACCAGCTAAGTAACCAGCTTAGTAACCAGCTAAGTAACCAGCTTAGTAACCAGCTAACTAACTAGCTAAGTAGCCAGCTAAGTAACCGTCTAAGTAATCAGTAAATAGACAGCTAAGTAACCAGATAATTAACCAGCTAAATAACCAACTAAGTAACCAGCTAAGTAACCAGCTAAGCAACCAGCTAAGTAACCAGCTAAGTAATGGCCATCATTCTAAATAAGAAACGAACGAATAACAATAACAATAAAAATATAAACAAATAAAAATATCAGTCACTGGAAAACTAAAAAGAGTAATCGACTATTATTGCATTCGAATTAAATGAACTTATTTTTCAAATACATTGTTTGTTTCATTGTGTATCAGTAAATGAGGCTGACTTCGTGATTTATCTCTACCTATGCCATCCACCATCTTCCCATAGAAAATGTAAAATAAAATATTTTCTTTTATTTTTCCCAACTCAGCTTCTCAGTAAGCTGCTGTATGCCAACTGACAAGGACATCAGCATTAAGTTCATCCCCCGGACCCAGGAGTACGCCCAAAGCATCAGTCATAACTTTGACTACGTGGTAAGCTTTCAAAGCTGTAATATAAAGTCTTTCATTGTTAGTCTACTATACTTATGCAAGTACGGTTTAGAATTCCACAAGACATATTATTCAAAAGAAATTGCATTTCATAATAGAGGGCTAAGTGTAAAACTTTATGTTGTAAAGAGTAAGACTGTTAAAATGTATTAAATTACTAGCAAAATACCCGCGCTTCGCAGTGGATAGCCTTTTTTTTTAAAAAAAAAGGTAAGAAATTATCAAGTATCCGCAGATACCGGGGACTTTACAATACATTCCCTTTGAGAAAACCAATCCTGCGTCAAATAATGGCAACTTTTTGTAGGGTCTGTCCTTGGGACCCCGATCCTGGTAAGACCCCAATTCTAATGAGGCCCAATCCCATTCTGAACCCAATGATTTTTCCCGGTGTAATCCCGTTCCCGGTGGGATTCTATTTTGTTGTGGTTCCGGATCCAGGGGGAATCCAGATCCTGTTGTGATCCCGATCCCATCGGTGTCTTGATCCCAATGGGCTACTGATCTCAGTGGTTCCAGATGGGCTACCCATCCCGTTAGGATACTATTCTCTGTGGGATCTCGTTCCACCTAGGTTCTCTCTTTTCCGATGTTATCCCGTTTACTGCTAGGATACTGTTCCTGGTTTGATCCCGTTACCCGATGGGATCTCGATACCAAAGAAGGGTATTACTATTAAGCTAGGCCTAGATCAACCTATTCATATAGAACCTAAAGTGTTGTCTAGCCCTATTGATATTTATACAACTTATAATAGGAAAAATTAAATTGGGCCCGGCCCCAAAAGGATAGATACAATGTGTTAAGTACCCTTCGGTATTTGAATAGGGATATTCAAGGGTATGTGTATTAACTTTGGTCAAGTTTCATCTATTCATGTAGCAGTAATTTGTTGATCATTTTATTTATAGAGCTCGCATTGAAAAAAAACAACACATTTTGGGCCCCCGCCCCCAAACGGTATAGATTTTCGAAATGAAACCTACTTAAGTTTTGTAAATAGGCCGTAAGGAATAAGCCTGCCACATTTCATGATCCATATCTACAGGGGAAGTTGGAGAATTAGTGAGTGAATGAGTGAGTGAGGGCTTTGCCTTTTATCAGTATAGATTTCTGCATTTGGTTAACATACCTGATTCCTTCTACTGGATTTTTTACGATAGCTTTTTATTATCAAAAAAGTTATCAAAATTTTACATAAGTTCATGTTTAATTTAAATTTAAGAATTGAAAAAAATGTCTTAACTATTATGTCCTGGAAAGAGTGCAAAACTCATTATGTCTTGACAGATATCTAAATATAGTCCTATGTCTTGGCAAACCTTTTAAGGTAATACCTATGTCTTGACAGACATCTCAATATGCACCTACGTCTTAGCTGACATATTAAAGCAGTACCTATTGCTCTTTCCTCAACAGCCTGAGATCAGCTTCTACCAGAACGAGAGATGCGATGAAAAAATCACTCAAAACCCTTACGCCGTGCAGGTCGGCGATTGGGTGTACATTGGTGTCAGTGTCAATGCCAATAACGAGTCCCTGTTCAGAGACAGCGATCTGAAGCTGGTTGTCACACGTTGTACCGCCAACCCAATCAATGGCGTGGATAACGGGCCTAAGCCCTTCGATAACGTGACACTTATTGACAACAAGTATGTGGCTGTAGGATCATTTCAATAAATAAGGAAGCCTCTGAGCAGATACACATACAGACAAACACAAAGATATAGCCTAAACGTAATTTAGAAATAAATACAATTATTTACCATTTCAATTAAAGGTCAGTCAATATGTTCCCTTTTATAGGGGAAGAATCCCTCAAACAAATTTGTAATATCAAACAGTTTCACAAAAATAAACACGTTTTCAAGCACTAACTACTGGTGTTGATGTTTAAAAAATATTAGCAATTATTTTGTTAACACAAACACACAGCTGCAACTGTTGTTAAACGCATGATTCCTAATAGGAAATTATTCTTTTATTTAAATTCATTGCTTCCAAATCCAAGTTTCTTTAAACATAGGTACACGATTTGTTATTCGAGAATTAAATTAATTTTAATTGATCAGTATCCATTCCCCCCCCCCCCCTTTTTTTTTTAAAAACACACTAACCACACTTAAAAAAAGGAACCAATGAGCTGCGAAGCTAAGTTAGCTCATTGATGTTATAAATAATTCACTGCCGACATTTTATTAATATTAACTTACCATTGGTAGATCACTGTTCTGTTATCAGAACCAGATATAAACGAACAAACATTGTGATTTTAGAAATTTCTAAATAAAGGCCATTTGGGTATAATCTATTGTTGTTGTTTTTTTTAAATGATGCACGAGATTAAGTTAAGAAATCACAATTTTGATATCATTAATTAAATATGTGCTCAATTGAATTTTAATTATTGAAAATAATGCTCGATATCATTTAAACCATTTAAACACATGTTCATTAATTTAGCAGATATCTGTTTCATTTCATGACTCTAGGTTCTATAATTTCAGTTTTCTTGATAATTTTTATCGAGTTACCAAACTCTGTACATTGTTTTTGTAAGAAGTATAGTTAGCACCATTTCACAATAATTGTTGTTAAAAAAATAGCAACGGCAATGTCACCACTGTTAAAACAATAAAAGTTATCTCTACTTCACCATTGTTGTAACAAATAAAGTTCTCATTATGTCACCATTGTTGTAAGAAGTATAGCTAGTTAAAAATTTCTTTGTTTTTTCTCCCCCTGTAGGTGTCCATCTGATCTGGCCAGTGTCACCACCTACCCCATCAGCAACACCACTGAAGGTTTTCGATTCAGAGCTTTCAAATTCTTCGGTTACTCCTCTGTCTACGTCACGTGTCACCTGCGTGTCTGTTTGTCTACTGAACGCAAGCCCGACTGTGATAGGTGAGAGTTGTAAAACATATGCTAATAATGATATAATGATTTTATATGGTTTCAAAGATAAAAACATTGATAGTGAATGTATTTTTTTAGTTTTTATTATTATTAAAGACCCCTCACCATTTTAAAGAAATGTTGTATTCATAAATATCTGGCTTCTAATATCAAATTGTATTTAAAATTTGTAATATTAAAGATTTAAACGTATCATAGTGAGTTACATTCGAAATTGTGAAGACAAAAAATTAATATTATAAACTGAATGATAGCGTCTATTGGCATGGGCGCCTGCAGGTAGGGGCAAGGGGGGCACTTGCCCCCCCACCCCGGATTGATTGGATAAAGCAATTTTAGACAAAAATAGATAAAAAATGTATTAAAGTAAAGAGAAAATAAAGAGAAAGTAACTAAGCTGATGTCCTGTCCGTTCGATCACCATACAAATACGCTACAGTAAATTAAAACTATATTAAAACATTACTAAAAATTGTTTGCCCCCCCCCCTGGAAAGTTAATCGATTTTTTTTTTTTTTCCCCCCCCCCCCCCTTTAGAAATTTTTCTGCGGGCGCCCATGTCTATTGGTATAGTTAATGTACATTTCATATTTTTCATGTCTCTATTGAACACTATCTAATTATTGATCTATTTTGTTAATTATTTTTTCTCTCTCCCTAGATCATGCGCTCAAAATAACATCGGACGTAAGAGGCGTAATTTGGCTGATGAAGTCACTGGACTGGACACAGTTGTCTCCCAAATTCTACAGATCACCGACCCCAAGCAGCCCCCAGTGAACGCACTTCCAGCCCAGTCACACGAAGACAGAACCGCTGAAAGCATCAATCCACGTTTTCTTAAGCCTTAAAATCAACGGTCAATGTCAAGGCTGACCTAGATATTTATAGCTAGTGTTTCTTGGAATGCGCCAGTTCGGAGCATGATTCTTGTTGAAGAGATTTTAAGCTTGTCACATGTAAAATATCCGTCTAATATCTATAATTCAATTGTTACTAAATACACAGAAAAATAAAGATATCTAAAATACCAATTCAAGCTAATAATATTTTGAATTATTTTCACCTTTAAGAATAAATTTTTAAGATGGTTAACATTTGAAGAATAATAATCCTATTGTTATTGAATTTTAATACATATTAAATAAACCCAGCTTTAAAATGAAATGTTTACATATATTTTCTATTTATAAAATATGGGATGTCACACTTACCTATAAATGTTATACATCAACAACACTGTATTTAGCACCACCATTTCGATAACAAAGTATTTGTATTTTTTAATTTAATAAAGTAGTGAACACAAAAAAAAAATATATCGTTGCGAATACCCAGAAGAATATATGTATATATACATATTAAACAATCATATTCATTTGACTTTGTATCACAAAAGAAACCAAACCTGTAACAGTAACCATGGAAACCATCGCTCCTGAACAATGTTTTGTCCACAAATGAAGCACTGTGAATAAAGATTAGAAGCATTTCATTTGTTACATGTGTTGATTTTTAAAAAAAAATATTTTACTCTTTCTTTTTACACCGTCATTTTAAACTTTCATTCTTTACTTTTATTTTACATTTTTAGACACGCAAATTTAATCACCAACATGGTTTATTTTGAAGGGTACAAGTTATATATAATCGTGAGAACGGTTATTTATTCACCCCAAGATTAGAGATTCATTTAATTTATCTTTTTCGACCAGACCCTATTAAAGCAAAATCCTTAAGAATATTGTAGGGACTTTCTAATTATGGCTGGATTTGCCTTTTACAGAGAGCTCTCCTTTTACAAATAGTTCGTCTTGTTACAGATAGCTTTCACGAAGAAGGTTGTTGCATCACGAAGAGAAGTCCGCAGGTCAAACACATTTCTAAATTCTCCATGTCAGGCTTCAATTGAAATACGTGTTAAAAAAGATTTTTGTAATAGCGTAAAGCTACACAACCCCAACCAGTCTGTCTAGGACTCATTGGTTACTGTGTTAGTCTGTCATAGAGTAAAGTTACGTAAACCCAATCAGTCTGTCTAGGACTCCTTGGCTACCGTGTTAGTCTGTCACAGTGTAAAGCTACACGACCCCAACCAGTCTGTCTAGGACTCATTGGTTACTGTGTTAGTCTGTCACAGTGTAAAGCTACATGAACCCAACCAGTCTGTCTAGGACTCAGTTGTTTCTGCATTGGTCACACCCGGAAACAGAACTCTTCTTCTTCCTCTACCCTCCCTCTCACACCCTCTTTAAATGTCCGACTATGATGACTTCCTGCGTGATATCCGTCCAGAGGACTCGATATAAGGGGAAAGCCAGTACTCATGCACTAAGTCGAGGGTTACTTTCCTCCGTCTCCCGCTTATGCCTTATGTCACGTGACCCATTCATTGGTCAGCTGACGTCTTCCAATCACAAACAGTAATGCGTTCATCAGTAGCTCTGTCTGAGGTGTGAATTTATTGTTTGACCTGTGTGCAACACAATATCCAATTATCTGTATCCAAGTTCACGTATCCAAATGAACTGCATCTGATGACCTGTATCTCATGGTCTACACGCACTTATGGAGGGTGTAAATGCGAAGAGGGCGCTTTGCCCAGCGTGACACGTTTACCTTTTATGGAAAAGTTTGTACTCTATGGAATCCCCAGATTTTCTTTTTTAAAAGGGTGTGACAATAATCTTGCACTGTCCCATGTAGCACTATCCTTAGCTACAAAATTGCTAACACCAAATCACTGAAGCTTTTGACCTAAACCTCGTTTCCTGGACACAATGACCTGTACTTCATAATTTATACACAGTGACCTTTACTCCATGGCTTGTACCTCTGGACCTGTATCTATGATGTGTACACAATTACCTGTTTGTCATGACCTGTACCTGATGACATTTAACTCATGTACTGTACCTCATTGCTTGTATCCTAATACGTTTACCTCATAGCCTGTTCCCAATGACCTGTACTCAATAACCTGTATTATACCTTATCATCTGTACATCTTGACCTGTTCCCAATGACATGTACTCAATAACCTGTATTATACCTTATCATCTGTACATCTTGACCTGTTCCCAATGACATGTACTCAATAACCTGTATTATACCTTATCATCTGTACATCTTGACCTGTTCCCAATGACCTGTACTCAATAACCTGTATTATACCTTATCATCTGTACATCTTGACCTGTTCCCAATGACATGTACTCAATAACCTGTATTATACCTTATCATCTGTACATCTTGACCTGTTCCCAATGACCTGTACTCAATAACCTGTATTATACCTTATCATCTGTACATCTTGACCTGTTCCCAATGACATGTACTCAATAACCTGTATTATACCTTATCATCTGTACATCTTGACCTGTTCCCAAATGACATGTACTCAATAACCTGTATTATACCTTATCATCTGTACATCTTGACCTGTTCCCAAATGACATGTACTCAATAACCTGTATTATACCTTATCATCTGTACATCTTGACCTGTTCCCAATGACCCGTACTCAATAACCTGTATTATACCTTATGATCTGTACATCTTGACCTGTTCCCAATGACCTGTACTCAATAGCCTGTATTATACCTTATGATCTGTACATCTTGACCTGTTCCCAATGACCCGTACTCAATAGCCTGTATTATACCTTATGATCTGTACATCTTGATCTGGCCCCAATGACCTATACCTCGTAATCTTAAGCTCATATGACATTCATATCCTGGTACGATACGGGCGTCGACAGAATCATTACAAACATGACACATCCTCACCTTAATTAGCAAACTATTTAATAATATCTACTCACACATTTTTACGTAGCATTTTGGTTATGTAAATTTAATCTGTTTTAACCTATTACCTGCCATGACCCCATTTGGGGATCATGTTCTTTAAACCGTCCAATGGTGTCTCATGCTACCTACTTAGTGTCAACGCCTAAGTCTACTTAGATCAATAATTCGTGAAGTTCTTTCACACGTTGAATACGTCGTACTATTCTTACTATCACTGAATAAACGCAAGACCTTTTCATAATAATTATAACTTTAATAAAAGTTTTGCCATTTTTGGATCACTCTTTTGCTCTCTAATATGTTGCATCCACGTTGATTCTTGTGATTTTTTTGGCTCATCGTTGAGACTTGCCAATAATGTTATTCAGATATTAATATCAGGATTAATTTTTATTTTATTTTGGGGAAATCTCTTTTTTAAAGATTTGTTTAACTAATGGCCCCGGTAACAGCATGTGGTTGACATGTGGTTGACATGTGGTTGACATGTGGTTGACATGTGGTTGACATGTGGTTGACATGTGGTTGACATGTGGTTGACATGTGGTTGACATGTGGTTGACATGTGGTTGACATGTGGTTGAAATGTGGTTGACATGTGGTTGACATGTGGTTGACATGTGGTTGACATGAATCTAGATCTTCCTCATGAAATTCAGCCAAACAAGGTTCACGATCAACGATGGATTTTTTGGTAACTTTCCCATCAACTAAGCCATTGGCCAGCAGCAACCATTTGCGTTTGTCGGACACCCACAAAGACAGGTCCAGAGACAAGATCCGACTTTAAATCGATAAGATGTGAAAGTACATCGTCTAAAACCAGCTCTTCGCCTCGTAACAGGATGTTTCTACCAGAAGCAGTAGTTTTAGACAAGGAAAGTCAACCCTCAGTTAGTAAGGACTTTGACGCACCTGGGTGTTGTCATCTTTTTAAAGGTCGTAGACTAAAAGAATGACTCGGCAGAAACACAACTCCCCCGATATGAAACGTATAAAATCTTGAATGATTTTGGTGTAGAAGGTCTGACCTTGGTAGTGAAACTCTCGTTAGAGCTTTGAGAAAATCTGGCTAGGGTAGAGGAAATAAAACTCTGAGTGGAGTGAAGTACAATAATGTCTAGTCTTTTAATTTTTTTCTTTCTGAGTTGCAGACAATCATCTCTTTTAAGAATTGTTTTTGCAATAGATACATATGTCTCTTATACTTGATTTCTTTGTGCCAGACTCACTTGATATTTGTTAAAGCGTGCTATACGTTGATAGTATTGCTCTATGGTGCTGCCTTGTTTTGTGTCAAACTGGATCTTGGAGAGCTGATGCGAAATGGGGAAATCTTCAGCCAACACTGCTTTATGCAAATCATCTTCGCCACGGTCTACAATATGTGTCAGTACGTCCATACGAAAACAATTCTTGAATATATCCATCAGCTCGAGTTTCTGGAAGAATTTATTTAAGCATTTGTGGATTTTCTTTGCATAAAGACGCTGTTCTAGGAGTCGTTCGTCTTCTCTTTGAAACTCTTTGGCCTTCGCCTTTCAACAACACCCTAAACATTTACGGTATGGTTTGTAGACACCTTCATAAGACTTAAGTATTTTCGACTTTACAAGCGTATAGTCCACATGTTTTTCAACCTTAATGAACACAAACACTTTAGCTGCCGGGTCATTCAGAGCCATCCGCAGCAAGGAAGACCAAATATTCTCAGTGATTCTAAAATATTTTTGCGCAGTTATTTCAAATTTATCAATATACTGGTCAATGTATCTATCTTCAGACCTAGAGATTTATTTGCAAATTTAATAGCATTATTTCCCTCAATGGTTGTAGCTTTAGGTCTGTTTTCTATTAAACTCATATTTTTCATTTCTTTCAATATTTTTGACGCTCTGCATGGGAATTTATCTCCAATTGTTTGGGAGCTTATTTTGTTTCTTTCTGAAGTATCTTGCTCCATTTGCTTGAATCTTAATTGAAGCGCTCTACTTGGATCATTTTAAATCTTGACTGAGACCAGGTTATCCTCAATCAAGAGATCGTCATCCACGAAGTGGTCAACGATCAAATCTCTGACAGCCTTTTTTTAAAATTAGAAATTTTTAATTCCATTCTAAATTAAACTCAAAAGAAAATACATCTTTTCCATAACATTTGTCTAATGTCTCTACTTATGTCTCGTAACATCTGTCTAATGTCTCTACTCATGTCTCGTAACATCTGTCTAATGTCTCTACTCATGTCTCGTAACATCTGTCTAATGTCTCTACTCATGTCTCGTAACATCTGTCTAATGTCTCTACTAATGTCTCGTAACATCTGTCTAATGTCTCTACTCATATCTCGTAACATTTGTCTAATGTTTCTACTCATGTCTCATAACATCTGTCTAATGTCTCTACTCATGTCTCGTAACATATGTCTAATGTCTCTACTCATGTCTCGTAACATCTGTCTAATGTCTCTACTCATATCTCGTAACATCTGTCTAATGTCTCTACTCATGTCTCGTAACATGTGTTTAATGTCTCTACTCATGTCTCGTAACATGTGTCTAATGTCTCCACTCATGTCTCGTTACATTTGTCTAATGTCTCTACTCATGCCTCGTAACATTTGTCTGATGTCTCTTCTCATGCCTCGTAAATTTATCTAATGTCTCTACTCATGTCTC